AAGTCATCATGCACTGAATGTAATGGGCGACCCCCCAGCCCGCCCAACGCACAGACACCTGTCACTCGACGGCCCGACAGTCTACGTCAACGTGCGTATACCGCGTGGGGGGATGACCCCCACACCAACTGCGCCCCCAAGGTCTGGCACAGCACCCACCCGAATACACATAGCCGCCTCTATGCCTGTCTCTCTTGTATCAGCGAGATAACAGACACTCCCCTCACCCACCTATTCACCAATAGCTTTACAGCAGTACCCCCCAAAACAGCAAAAAACCCAATAGCAAGTCAGTCGCACAGCTCCACCCCCGCCCGTCCATCCCTTACTTCCATTGTTCAACAAGCACGCCAACTCTGAAACCCCGATCAACAAATCTAAGACACACGGACCCCCCCCGCCCCCCCGGCTCCTCCTCAAAGGGCAGTCACAAGCCCCGCAGTAGGTGCAGCCACATCGCCGCCGCTATCCCCCACAGACACAGACACCGCCGAGAGCATCACCGTCGCCTCTGGTGCGTCTTGATCGCTGCCGCCGCCGCCGCCCCCCGCCCACCCTGCCGCTGCCCCGTTTTCGATGTGAGAAACCTTGGGTGGCCATGCAGCTTCTCCTTGGGAGGAATTATTGTCCTGACTCCCGCCGCCGGCGGCGGCGTTTTTCGCCATCGCGTTCGGCGCCGCCGACGTTGTGTTCGATGTTGCTGTTGCTCCCGTGGTGGCGGGGGGCACGGTAGCGCCGACTGCTGCGGTAGCGGCAGAGCCAGAGGCCGCGCCCGCTGGAGGCGGAGGGAGAGAGGCGGGTGCTTCCGATGGCGAAGCAGCGCGTCCACGGCTGCTGCCGTTGCTGCTGCCGATGTCGCCGCCTCCCGGGGTGCCGTGCTGGCGGGAGGGTAAGGTTTGCCCGCCGCCTGCGTCGGAGACGGGGGTCGTAGCGGCCGTGGCGGCGTCGAGGGTGGGCTGGATGAGACCCCTGCACTCCGGGTGGTAGTGCAGCACGTCCTCGAAGATCAACAGCCGCAGGTTGTGCTTTGTCAACTCCACCTGATCCGGTTCCGCGAGAGGTGTATAGGAGGCCGCACATCGGTAAAAAGACAAGCAGAGTTGCGTGAGACAGACAGACAGACAGACAAACAGACAAGACAGCAGTGGAGATGATGGCTGGCGCCGAGCCTGGGCCAGAACCCGAAGGAAGCTCAGAGGCACGCAGGCAGCATTACTGACCCATTTCCCGTTCCATCGTGCGGTTGATTCCACACCTGCGAACGACATACCATGGTACGGTCCACGTGGTGCGCCCCTTCCCGACCCACGTCATTCCATGCAGCCTCCTCAAGATTCCCAACTCCCGAAACCGTAAGACTGCCTCCAGGAGAAAAAAATAACCCTTTTCCAACAAGCCGATCCCGAGAACGACGTCGACTGACTGACAGACGGGACGTAGGGCAGCTATGCTACCTGTTGTGCCAACTCACCGCTTCGATGCACTGCCAGTCCACGTGGCTCTCCGCCAGCGGTTCTAGAGCGTCGTCGTGCAACGACGAGAGGTACGGGTGTTCCAACGCCTGCTCGACCGAGATTCGCCGATTCGGGTCGAGGATGAGCATCTTCGACAACAGGTCCACCGCGTCCGCGTTTACGTCGGGGAACTTGACTCCCAGGTTCACGGGCGACGTGTCCGGTAGGCCAAGCATGAACCGCCTCGCCCTTGGTGGGGAGGGGGAGAAAGAGAGGGTGGCAATGTTAAACGCCACCAAAAACAGAAACGACAACCCGATATGCTATGCATACTATTCTACGTTCCGACACACCAATGGACCACATTGAACAACACCGCGAGGCGACAGGAGATGGGATGGGATGGGATCGGGCCAGCTTTTCCCCCGACCCTAGGCAAACAAGTGATCTATCACTATCACTATCACTATCACCACATCCTCCACATGGGCCTCTAAATAGCTACGGGCTCTAAGTGGTACATTTCGTCAGCGACTTCGCCCGAGAGAAGAGTTGAGTGCACAGTGAACCAACTGTCGATGCTATAGACGACGTGGGAGCACGCTACGATATACCGCCGCAACGGTTGTGCGATGCTAGTATACTGTAAACAATCCTCCGGCAAAATAATAGCAAGGTGTGCCTCGCCAAAACCAGAGCTGAGGGATCCCGGGAAAGAAATACGTGCCATTCAGTACCCCAATGCGCCCGTTGTGGGTGCGAAGAAGTCGGGTCAACTACAACTGCTCCAGACCAGTACAAGAGAGCACCGGCTCATCGGGTCTATGCATACACCAACAACCACGCCAGGGCGTCTGTCTCAGCATCATCGCCGTCTCAGCATCATACACCAGCAAGCCCGTCAAACAAAGGCGGCGTGTAGGTATTATAGTACCTTGGGTTAGTGACGAACCAAATGTCAGATTCGGTGGGCTTCCCGATGAGTGACGTGATGAGCTTAAGCTGGTGGATGTAGTCATTCCCGGCAAAGAGCGGCTTCCGACCCAGCATCTCCCCGAAGATGCACCCCACGCTCCACACGTCTATAGCCTCGTTGTAGTTCTGCACCGAGAGCATGATCTCCGGCGCACGATACCAGCGGGTCACCACGTACCTGAACACCCGAGAGAAAACACCATGCCACACCAGTGGGGCGGTCGAAGGCAAAACAGCAACAATCAACAGTAGAAGAAGAGCGGTCAGGGCTAAGGACAGAAAGTTTGGATAGCGGGCTAAGATGCACTCAGGAAGTCAGGAAGCGCCAACGTGTGTCATTGTACTGCGCAGTCCGAGGCAGCAGCAGCAGCAGCAGCAGCAGCATCGAAACCACTACATGAACAGGGCACAACAGATCAACAAACGCCATCACATCACCACCGAAAAGGGTTCGAAGTCATTCCGTTCGGTTCGACAAGAAAGGAAGGGAAGGGTTAGAAGGGAAGGGTTAGGGTTTTAGGGTTAGCACCACTCACTCAGTAAGGTCCCCCGTCTCGTGCTCGTCGTGCACTCCCCTCGACAACCCGAAGTCGCAAAGCTTCAAATCGCAATTCTGTAGACATAGGCAGCAGTGGACAGGCGGCGGCAACAGGATCAGCGGTGCGGTATGCCACTCTTGTACATTGTACATTGTACACATAGGCATACGGGACAACGCATCGCCGCTGCGACCGTGCGCGCGCGGCTTCGTACGTGCCAAAGATGCCAAAGCATATGGACGCATAGCGCCAAAGGTCCAGAGTTAAATTAGCCAGAAAACGCCTGCTTTTCGAACACAAGCCGCGAAATCTGCATCAAGGCCGCGTAAAGGCGCATTACAATGCGCCTTTCGAGCTATTATACTGCTGTGTTGCTGTATCACCGCCGGTGGTATGGTACACCCACAAATGTGCATACCATACCACTGAATCTCCAACCGGGGCAGGTTTTGAGCAACGAAAAGAGCGACGGCACGTTCGCTGAGCATGAGAAGACTCTGCGACAATCGCATCTACTCCTCTCTCATAAATGGGAGACGAAATGCCGGACTGCTGTAGGCACCAAGATGTAGACGAAATCCAAGTCGGGCCGTCAAGAGCACGGTGCCAAAACTCACCGCGTTGAGAAGCACGTTCGACGGCTTGAGATCTCTGTGCAGCACCGAAGCCGAGTGGATGTACTTGAGCGCGCACAGGATCTGGTAGAGGAAGTACTGCGTGTGCTCGTCCGTCAGGCGCTGCCTCGAGTAGATCACCCTGTGAAGGTCGGTTTCCATGAGCTCGGAAATGATGTACACGTCCTGCAGTGCAATCACAGTCGGTAGAGCGGGGAGGGGAAAGGCGCGCGTCAGCATGGCATGGCATGCCATCCATGATCGTAAGGGAGCAGTGCCGGGGCCTAAAACCAATCAAACGAATCAAACCAATCAAGTGGAACTGGTGATGGAGTATAGCCCTCACGAGCCGGCGATTTTTGCGCGGGAATAGCTTCAGGAGTCACGATGAAGGAATACACGCACCGCTTGATGGCGCTTGGCCGCAATACAAATGACTAATGTCATGACTACGATAGGCCAACGAGCCACGATGTAGTGTCGAACTTCGATCTGGACAAGACATCGCTGGAAGGAAGTTCCACAACACGGAGCGGCAATCTTCTTGAATCGCATTCGCATGGCACACGGTACACCCTCCAACAAGTGAAGGCGTTCACTGCCCACTGTCTGTTGTAGTTGTCCGGGCTACACTATTCTAGCAGCAAAAACGGCCGCACCGCGCAGCATTCCGGGCACCTCATACCGTACGCATGGCTGTACTCACATCGAAGTCCTCCAGAGATGAGGGGGGAAGAATGTCTACGACCTTCATCACGTTCTCGTGGTTGAAGTGCCGCAGGAGACGGATCTCCCTGACGATGCGTTTGGCGTCCACCAGATCATCGAACGCTCCGGGAATCTTCTTGATGGCCACCTGCAGTCACCCGAGGTTGTCGAGGCGAAGAACAAACCCGACGAGTGTGAGTGTGATACTGGAGCAGCGGCGCTGAGCATTCCGCCTGAGAGCCCCAAAAGCTCACTTCATTTCGGGGAGGATTCCATTTCCCTCTATTTGTCAGATGCATCAACAGGTCGACCGTTAAAAAAAACAAAAAGGGTGAACTTAAAACTTAACTCGAGTGCCGAACGGTTGGTCGCTGGGTGGCCAAGCTGTAGGTTGATGTGCCGGCATTGGTGCTAGGTTGGTGTTGATGGGATAATTTCTAGTTTGGAATTGTATTTTTATTTTTTATTTTTTCGCCTTCACTTCAAATCAGCGCTCACAGCACTATAATAGTGCCGTTTACTCCAACCCGTGGTCACACAGAAGAACCCCTCTCTACCCTCCCATTCTGCGGTATTTTGCCTTCGATATGTAATGCGAGAAGAGTTCAGAACTCTCTTCCCTCTGTGCGCTATCCACTAGGCCAAGAGCGGAAGAGAGAGAAAAACTCACTTTGCAAGAAAACTCGCTTGCGCCGGGATTCGAACCCCTGACCTGACCTGTAGAAGGTTTCGAGGATACCAACTAGACCACCGGGGCGACCGAGACACCTCGTATCGTAGGTGCTAAGCGTTGATGAGATAAAGCTACATCGATTGTTTGCCTGGATAGGTGCTGGTTTGGTGGTACTTGTAGTAGGCCTACAGTATTAAAAAAATGGTAGGTCGCTCTTGGGCTCTTGGGTGGTAAACGGTGCTGTGTTGCGCAGGTCTGGTCTGAATGTTCATATTAATATTGAGACGGGACTGTCAAGTATGGGTGCGTGGCTGATGTGGAAACACCCCTCGCTGCTGTATCGTACATATGCATATCTGGCCGAATGCATGTTCGAACGAACTCAACTGGACTCCACCCAATCCCCCGCGCTCTCGGAGTCACGATTGCCTACGTACAAGCGAAGATCGAGATCGAGAGAACACTTGTTTGCCGCTCCCGGGGGCACGGTGCAAACAACACACGGGATGCCAGCCACAGCGGTGCCTCATGCCATTTCTAGACAGTATGCATAGCTCACAGCAGTCTATGCTACGACCGGATTCCAAATACCGTACGGAGTTTCCCCCCCCTAGTACAGATCCCCCCCCCCCCATTACCTTTTCGGCCTGGAAGCATGGTTTCGTTGATTTAGCTCCGGGGTAGATCGTTTTCGACCAAAAAAAAAGGATCCCCCTGGGTATTTCAATTTCCCCCCGGGGTACCAGTTCCCACGAGTTCCCCCCGGGGGGGATGCATTCCCTTATGTTCTGAGTCGATTTTGTTGCATAGCGGAGCAGTGTGAACGGAGCTGGCGGGTACTCTCTGGAAGGCGGGCCCTTCCTCTTCTTGGAATTACTCGCGGGACGACACAACACCCCCAGCTGCTGTCCTCCTTGCTGTCTTTTTTCTCTTCGCGTTCGTTGTTCTTACGTTCCTCCTCCCTCTGCTTGTTGAACTAAACGCCTTATCCATCTCAGTTTCGCCACTCTCTCTGTGTGTGGTGTGTGGACCATCATTATGGTGCACAACCCCCCGGGGGGAGGCTTCCCCCCGGCGTAGCGTTGCAAAAAAAATAAACCAAACCCCGCGGTACGTCAGTTTCCCCCCGGGGGGTGTGGTTTCAGAAAAAAAAACGATCCCTTCCCTGGGGGGGAAACTCTGTAGTTTACGGAAGTCTACTGCACCAGACGAGTTTCAGCAGAGAGTCAAGTCCAACTGTCCGGCACGAAATCAAGCAGCCAGCAATTAATTACACAATATGACGCGCAAGTCCCCATTTGGAACTGGAAATTGGACCCTTGGATAGCGGTGATTCTTTCATTCTATTCGCATTCATTTTCCCGACGCCGAGAAATATCCACAGCGAGTGTTCCCAAAAACGTTGTTTGTACTTTGTACTGCCTGTGTCGACGAAGGACAGGGGTCGCAAGCAACACGCACCTCCTAGTTCCAACCTCGGATGCCTCTCTAAGCTATGTACTGCTGAAAAACAGCAGCGTCAAAGTTAACGAAAATGTAGCACACGCACGTACCTTGTTGTTGGATTCGTGGTCCAGCGCGGAAATGACCACTCCGTAGGCCCCGTGTCCGATCGGCTTGATCATCTCGTATTTCAAGTCCAGCTCGAAGTCAGTGCCGGCGGCGTTGACCGCTCTGGCGATCGATGACAGCCATCATTTCATCATTTTCGGCGTCATTATTGAAGAACATTGTTGTAGGAAGTGCGGCGTTGTTTGCCGCCAGCGTTGCGGGGCAGGCCGTATGTATTGGCGAGGGGGGCAACGGAAGGGTGGGTGGGTGGGACGTGGGACACATGGCAGTGAATGAGGATGACGGGTGTATGAACAATGAACTATTAGGTGTGCTACTTCAAACGAAGTCAGCGACGAAGTCAGCGTCGCTTCGAGGGCGGTTGTTGTTGTTGTTGTTGTTGTTGTTGTCTTCACATTAAAAACCGTTCCGGTCTCCACTCAGTACCTTCAAATGTCCGTACTACTGGTCCAACTGGCGCGGATGCCTTCCGTGGTCACAAGCCAACTGCCCCCCATGTGGTGTAGACTAAATATTACGTACGATTGCTTGCTTTGGGAAGAGATTCTTCGCAGCAAGCTCGAGAAAGAGACACACACAGAGGCCTCGAGGATCTAAGTGTGTGTGTCCCCACCGATGCCAAAGGTTCAGGGTATGTATCTAAGACTACACCACGACTACACACGTACACACCAAGGTACCAACAGCAGCAGCAGATCCATACAACATCTACAAGCGGGATCAGGCAGAAAATGAGTAAGGATTTGACGTGCAGTACTTATAGCCAGACATGTTGACATGGCATGTGTGCATGTGTGCATGCCCCTGTCTGACAAGTCGGAACTTGCAATGAACGCCATCAACAGGTGTCAGATCCAATCATGTGGCTGCTGCTGACGTCTCGTCAGCCTGAGAAGTCTGGACATGGTAGCCTCTCACCATCTCCGTGGTGTTTCCTCAAAAGGGTAGATATACTCTATACACGAGCAGGGAGACAGTAGTGCGAACGCCTTTCGTCTTTTAGGACGGAAGAGGAAACAGCAAATAAACCGTGCGTGTCTATCTATAAGTCGGCCCAATTTTATACGATAATCCTGTTGTATCTACCGAGCCTAGATGTGTTCTACCTTTCGATCAACGGCGAAAACACGACTGCAATCGATCACACTGGCTTGCCCTGCTGCGCTGCACCAGGCCAACCAACAAGACAGTAACCTAGGCCACCGCTCCGTGCACTAGAACGGGCCTAGCCACGAGTAAACAGGACCCACTGACTTGCCGGCTGCTCTTTTGGTTTGGAGAGAGCGGGTTTTGCCATCAGGGATAAGAGACGAAGGGACCAAGTGCAGGCAGGCACTATGATCTGCTGATGTAGCATCAGGAGCACGCCACGCACGACCGGACAGCTTTTCAGGAGAAGGACCAGGAGGGTAGTAAGCCCAGACACATCTCCGAAGGTCGTCATGCCAAGAGGCCACCTCTTGTCTTCCAGTCCACCACTCTACTCAACGCCGCCTTTCGGTCCCGCACTCGCTGACTCTTGTTTCTACCGTTGGGACAAACGTCAAACACTCATCAGATAGATAGATGGGTGCACCTGACATTCCTCCGGCTGCGACGTTGCAGCGCTCTCTCCTTCAGCCCCTTGATCTGCTGGTTCAACGCCGCGACCCAGCTTTCTCGCTCCTCCAACGTGTCCGCGTAGACCATGAGCGCTTTGGCGTTGGTAATCACCTGGAACGCGTGGACTCGCGTGGGCAGGTTGGTCACCCGGGACTCAGCGATCAGCACCATGCGGCCCCTCGGACGCAGGTCGCCCTGCTTGGAGAAGTATGTGATGACATGGTCCTCGAGGATGAACCATCGCCGCTTCCACTGGACACCACCCTTCTTGGTCAGGTGTCCATCTAACCTTGTGCTCCCGTGCATCTTCACGGTGCTCCCCCTGCCGCTGTTGTCCATTCTTCTGGCAGTATGGTCTGTCTTTGGTTGTGGTCTTGGAAGTCGGGGGCAAGTCTAGTCCGGACTGCCTCTCCGCTCTCTCGTGTATTGAGAAATGATCGCCATAACCGCCCAACGGCGGTAATTACCATGGATATTTTCCATGGAAATAATGACCCTCCGTGACGTCTGCGCCCTTCACAGAGGCGTTTGTTTGTTGAGACTCGCTTGAGACTGCAGTATCAGAGGGCAGGCAGACACAGCAGGCAGCAGGCAGACACAACACCGAGTGTAGGGACAGAAAAGAGACAGGAGTATCGGTGTGTTAGCAGTACCGCTGACACGAATCCCAACATTCAGCGCACATGCGGTAGATTCAACTTGGAACACCCGTTATTGGTCCGCCCCGTGCGCGCAGCCAGCAGCCAGCAGCCAGCAGACCTGCCGGCGCCACCACCGCAGGCTAGTGGCTTAGCTTCCTCTCTTCAGCCCTGCACTGCACACTCACGAGCACGTTTACTAAGCGGCGAGAGATTTGGTGCAAGAGGTGGCTTAGTTTGGGTGAGATGATGCCGCTGATGGCTAGCATCCCTTGTTGGGCTCTTCGGCTGCTGGCAGTGATCGCCGTGGTTTGTACGATTGCCTTGGGGGGAGTTCACAACCTTGGAGACAACGACTTCGACGACTTCGTCGCCGACCTTCCTGAACAAGCGCTCCTATTGGTCGACTTCTATAAGGTGAGACACACAGGCTTGTCGGCGAGCCTGAAATTGTGGTATCTGAGGAACTGAGGAGTGCTGGGGAGGGGAGCGATTTGGCAACAGCGGCACCGAAACCGCCTTCTACAATAGGTCGTGTGTTTGAGGTTCTTGAAATTCGAACCGACGGCACTGCTGTAACTGGCTTTTTTGCGCCACTAACCACTCGCCATTCGCCACCCACCAAGGTGTTGGCGAGGATGAGGGTGTGGAAGGTTCTGTTACATGGATGAGGTATTCCCCCTCCGTTCTGCCGGTACGTTTCCACATTGTGGTCATTGGTCGATTACATAGATCCTGGTCAAAAGGTCGCTCCCCTGGTACATTTCTGTAGGTCCCTCACCTCTGACAGCAGTAGTTTAGTGTCACACACGTGTTTACACTGCTGCTGTACACAGAGCAGTATGCACTACCCACCTGGCTTTCCGACTACGGCCGTGAATCTTACAAGTACGCCTTACGTCCTCTGTACATCCAAAGACAAACGGTCGTGCTCGAAGGTACTACTGTACGGCAGTATTCTCGACGAATTGCCAACCAGCACATGTATACAATTATACAAATAGTGCGGTACCACGCGAAACCCGCAGGGTACTGCTGTATCGAAAGGAAAGGGATAAAAAAAGTGGGGCAACTGACTTGCACTGATAGGCAGTAACACTAACACCGCAACAGCGGCAACGCACATCACTTGGAATACAAGTAGTAGTCTGCGTGTTCAAGTTGATTCTTCTCTTATCACTCTGTTGGTTTATGTCGGGCGAACTGCAACCTCATGTGCACGAAACAGCCCGTTCTCGCGCCCCCCCCCCCTCGCCCCTTTGCCCCCCCCTCTTTCCCTTCCCTGCTTACGGGAAAATAACACGTAAGCCTGGCTGCAGACATTGCCAGAGATTGAACCCAGTTCTAGACTACCTCGAGGCCGAATGGGAGAAAGAAGAGCCGGACGACTCGAAGCGGTGGTTCAAGCTTGCCAAGGTCGACATCGAGAAGAACCCTCGTCTCAAGACGGTGAGCTACTCGTGCTGCCCGCCCACTGCTGCTGTGCTATCGGCCCTGGCTTGGTCGCACAATCTTGGTAAGCAATTCTGAAGCACCTCCGGTTCACTTTCTGCTTCTAATAGCTGTGTTTTTCTACCGCAGGCGGGTGAAGCAGGGTGCAGACGCAGGTGCTCATTTGGGGCTAGTCCTTATGCCTTTCTTTGTTACCTTCCTTTCTTCGGTCTCATGCGAATGACCACAGTGCCAGAAAATCCCTCCTGGGGCCAGTGGATGCCACCCTTTTGGGCGCGACAAAGTTTATTGACGAGATACGAATATGAAAGTCACGCAGAATCGTGGCTATCCTACGGCTCTTGATGTGGTGACGAGCGGTTACTATAGTCTTGAGGTTCGATCCCGTCCCGTTTGATCTCATTCCACTCCGTCTGTTTCTATCCCACCCCGCCTTCCGTCCTTGTGCAACCGTAATCGCCAATTTACTTGGAAAGGTATTTGGAATAGCGAAACTTCCGGACCTCCGGTTCGTTCGAGCAGGACGGTGGGGCACATACCAGGGGGGGCGACTAATCGAGGCGAGCAACACAACAGTACGGCAGACCACGGTGCATGTGGGCCTCTTGTGAGACAAATGCAGCAGAGCGTTCTTAGGAGTGAAGGGCTTGACCACCATACGTACCCACAGGGAGCTGCTGAAGAGGGGCGAGGGGTAGGATAAGGAGTAGAGAAGCGAGCAGCGAGGTACATGCTAAACGTTGACTAGGTGGCGCTGATAAGCATTCAGTCATTTTACCCGAATGAATGCCGTTTGCGTGACGAGCCGCGTTGGAATGCACTCCCCGCTTCCGAAACCAGTGTGCTTCTCGCAACCTCGTGATTGCTCCGCTATGCGACGACCCTCTCCCCAACGGGCGTGTGTTGTCCCCCTCAGGATATCAAGGAGTTCAAAGAGCGCATGGCTTTGGTCCCCCTCCGCTTTGTGGATGCCGACGCTTTGACGGGGCTGGCCAGAAGCTCGGAAGCCGTGTTTGTGCTCTCCGCCAACGTGAGTGAGCTCGTCGAGTCCGCTACTTTCTATTTTCTTGCCCTGTGTTGTATTAACAGCACGAACCGACATCTCTGCCGACGCGGGTGAACTGAGTTGTACTGCCTCTCTCGAGCCTGTTGGTGCTTGTTTTTGTTGGTGCCGGCGTCTTCCAGGTACATGCCCACCTCCACTGTCTGCGACGCGGGATAAGTGATGCCACAGAAGTGTCTGTACCTTTGACCCGTTGCAGCGCCGCCTGTGGTCTTGGACCGAAATCCGTTCTGAGGGCTTGCGGCGCGTCTCCGCGATCACAGCAATGACGTGCGTTCTGTGCCTACTCTCTCTGTTCTTTGTTCTTTCTCTCGCTCTCTCTGTGTTCTTTCTCTATGTCTCTCTGTTTTCTCTCTCTCTCTCTCTCTCTCTCTCTCTCTCTCTCTCTCTCTCTCTCTCTCTCTCTCTCTCTCTCTCTCTCTCTCTCTCTCTCTCTCTCTCTCTTTTTCTCTCTCTCCCTCTGGCGTTCGCTGTGTAGGAGGATGCTGACCCTTCCACGGTGGCCCCGGGGGTTCTCCTCGCCGCCACGTTGTCACAGCACGAAGCCACCTTCTGCACCACATCACCGGAGGTGTTGGCATCACTAGGACTAGGAGTAAGCGGGTGAGTAAGAACATGGACATGGACATGGACACGGTCGTATTGAGGTTTGGGTTTTGGGTTATGCGTTGATGTATTGTATTAACGATACTGGACGGTTTCTACCTCCTGACGCCCCACCTAGATTCGACGGCGTCGTTCGTGGGAAGCTCGCTTTCTCTTCATTGAGTTCACGAACGTTGTCACGAACGTTCTCGTAGGCTTCTTCGCTTTCCTTAGCCTCCAAGAGACACGTCGCCAACCATGGCTTGATCTGCCACTTCTACCACTATTATTTTCGAGGGGTTCTGCCACAGTCTCGCCAGGTGACTTCATATGCGTGCCCCATGTTTCTCCAACAACCCTGGCCCTGAGCCTTGCCCCTCCCCAACCACCCGTGCCTTACCTCCTACGAACTCCATCGTGCGGTCCACGACAACGTAACCATGGTGCCAGGGTGTCACCGGCGCTAGTCAAGGTAGTAGCCGGACAGGGGGGACGACTTCTGCAGCCGGCCGCGTACAAGACGGAGAGGGGCACCCAAGGTGTCAACGACGACAGCGCTACTGTCAGCGTCGCCGCTGCCTCTTCGTGGTCCGTGTTGAGCTGGGTGGAGAGGGAGAGGTTCGGATTGGTATCGGACCTTTCGCCGGACAATTTTATGAGGTATGTTGATGTACGTCGTGCTGTATTTATCATCGTCCAAGTGTCAGAACGACCTCATCAGCCAATTGCGAGCTTGGTTTTAGTTCTTAAGATCTGCATGTTGCGTCGCGTCGGGGAGGATGGAAAAACTCGTTATCTGCGACCACGGGCTTGATGGATCTGGGTAGGGTATTCTCTGAATTACCGTAGAATGGGTCGAGAGAGCGTTGTTCTTGTTGTCTTCTATGGAGTTTTTCTTTACTACGCTCTAGGATCAGCTAGCGCCCACTTGATGTAGCGCGCGTACATGTCTGACCTATCTTGTGTGCCTGCTCAAGTGAGAAGATAATTTGCTGTCTTCCGGGCTGTTTGTCGTACCCCCCCCCCCCCCCCCTCCCACCCTCGGATATCGAAAGGCCTTGCGGTTTCGTAAGCAGCGCCCACACCAGTAACGAGATGGAAGCAATTTATCAAATCAAAGGCTCTACGAGACTCGGGTTAGCACGTTGTGTTTGTTGGTTTGAATAGATACATCGTACACAATGTTTTTTTTTTTGCTGTCCTAGAAGTAATAACACAAACCTTCTGGAAGGTTCTATTGTAGGTCGACTTGAACAGACATCCCTCATTCCCCGTTGTGCGCACGTAGTCTGTTTAGCAGTTGTTGCGATGCACGGAAGGGAATTGGCTAAGCATGCCACCCAGATCGTTCCACACCATCGACCATCGACATCGTACCTTCCCCCCCTACCCTAATCCCGAAACAAATCACCCATCCACGCAAACTGCGGCAGGCTGGGTTCCCTGGGAAGGTTGATGGTGCTTGGAGTTTTTGACCCCAAGCACGAGGCGACAAGATCGTTCCGCAAGGTGCGCGGCGAGTCAAATGCAAAGTGCTGTCACATACGATTGCCTGCAATATGGCACTGCATGGCACGCTTTACCATTCTATGGCATTCTTACCGAAATGGCGAGTGTGCCATTCCCGTCGTTCATTCCATGCTCAAGACAACCCTTCCACGGAAGCGAAACAGGCACATGTGACGTACCCGTTTTGGGTCTGTGCCTGTGGCGTGCGATGTCGGTCACGGCTTGTTTCGTGATGGTACAGCAGTACGTAGTTGGCCGGTCTCGCTGCCACTTGTACCAGGGTATGCACTCAACACGTCCGTGAGACACCGGCAAGATTGCGATACTGAGCGCATGTTTGCCCAATCACAGACAACACTTCTCTCCCACCTCCCACCCCTTTTCCCGCAGAGGAAGCTGCTCCTGTTTTGAAGTCTGGCGGCTATGTTTAGATCTGGGCCTCGTGCTGGTTGCTGTAGACCTAGCCCTCATCTTCGCAGCTACTGTACATGGAGAGGGAGGGCATCGTTGATTCTACCTTCCGCCACATAGATGTTGTGCAAAACCTTGTCTTGGCAGCTTCATCGAGGGAGAGCATGGTTGAACCGAGCCTCCGCCATCACGAATTGAGTTGTCGAGACCTCATCTTCGAGGCAGGGGGAGGGTGTGTCATTAGATCAAGCTTCCGCCATGCTGTTCGCTGCTCGATCGCGCTTCTTCCCAACGTTAAACTTGCACTTCAAACAGTACGAGTCTACTGCTGTAGCTCCCCGTTATATCCCCCTGCCCAGATACTGCACCCACCTGCAGATAGATCGCATATGCATACGACCCTGTTGAATGGATCACACGAACCACCGCTCGTTCAGGTTTTTGGGGATGTAGCCTCGGACATGGGAGTGAGGCACTCCGAGAGGCTCATGTTCGGGACGGTAAACCGCGTTACGATGCCGGGTTTCATGGAGACTTTCAACGTGTACGAGGGGCATCCGCAGGTCATAGTCATGGTGAGAGTGAGACCGGTGTCACGTGTGATGGCCTGCATGCAACTCAAGTTCTACCGTGACGCTGGATATGGATGGTTTTCCGACTCGTGTACCTCCTCGCAAATGATCATCATGCATGTATGTATGATGATACGCGTGTATATTTGGTCCTCTCTGATTCGCGTTTGGTGCCTGGGATGGCGAAACTCGCACCCCGCCACTATTGCGCAAACACGGTCAACAACAAGGTAGCGTTTTATTTGTGTTTTACGTAGAGTGTCTCAATCACTCGGCCACCCTCCGTTGGTGTTTCCAGGACATTGCGTCGGACGAGTTCTACACCTTGGAAAACATGCGGATGGAAGTTGGGGAAATGGAGGCATTCCTTATCGACGTCCTAGCAGGTGGGTTGGCTGGCCTGCAAGTTGTCACGTGCGGCCTGTAGCCTGTAACTTGTGTGGAACGCGTGTTCGTGAGTATCGGCTGTCGCAGGTTTAGTGCTCTTTTCGTTGGCACGACGACCCGCCGTGCTCGCTGTGGTATTTCGATTGCTGTTGGCGTCTGTTTTCCGAGCATCCAGCATGGCATGTACACGAGCATTGGTGTGCACACTTTGAGCAAGTTGTTTATTGCCAGCTTGGTTGGTCCGGAAGTTCTAGGAACCTATCGTGGAAAGGAGTTCGTATGTTACTGCAGATTTAGACCTGTTCTGCATGGGAGCGTTCTGTCGTATGTGTGAGGTGCATCTGTGAACGTTCGTATTGAAGCCAATAAGAGGGCGTTTGGTCGTGAAGTTACCTCGCCGCCTCACCGCTTTTGAACCGTTTCAGCAAGGTTTTTCCCGATTAGATCGCGTTTCGACCGATGTGTGCACCCTCTCAAAATTTCGAGCGAAAGTACCCGGTGGAGCAGCAGTCAGAGAAAGGACCCTCCTCGCTGGTGTTGACATAGAATACGTACTGCCGTACCAGGCGTCGAGATACCGCAGCTAAATAGCTCTTCGGTGCACAACAAAAGGACGACCTCAACGGTTAAGCATATCGCAGCAGTCTTCCTTGCCAGTTGGCAGGGCTTCTATGCTACGGCTTGCGTAGTTTTATCTGCCCCCGCTGATTTTTTGCTTGGGATCGTACATCCCCTCCTCCGTTGGGGGCATGAAGTGGAAGCGGGCGTTTTGGTTTTGATGTCCACTCTGACCCAACCCTAACGCTAACCCTAATCCCTGTGTCAGGGTTCATTCCGGCCCGAGTGCCGTCTACCAATTCCGCGCGGTACGCGATGAAGATCTGGTGGCTCGTTCAGAAGGGGGGTGCGTGGAGCTTCCTTCTCCTCATCCCGGTGGTGGCACTGGTGTGGGTGTTCTGCGACACGCCTCAACGGGAGGAGGCGCGGGCAGCTTTGCGGGAAGTCAGGAAGACTGAGAGGGATGGGGCTCTTCGACGCAAGAACCAGTGAAACCGCGGCAGACGCACACGCCTGCCTCCGAGTGGTGTTGCGCACATGCCTCCTTCGTTGGTGCGGAGAACAGCATCACTTGAACAGCATCATTCTGTAGGATATCTGTAGGATGCCAAGAGGTAGATGCGGCAGCTTCGGCTGCACTTTAGAGTGGCGACTAGGTTTCGTGTCGTAAATGTGGTGTACAGAGTAAGTAGAGGACAGACGTTTAGTGTAGTGTATGATCCGTCCACGGTGTTCGGGATCTTGATGGCACATGTCTGCCGCCGATAGCACATTTTTGAGGCAACCCTCCTGCTGATTATTGTACATTGCACTGCCCGTCGACAGAGGTCTCCTCGGCATTTGTCTATTAATGTTATTACAGGTGTAGACCAAGTGTGGTGAACTGTCGTGTTTTGTATCCCTTACCTGGCCCTAGTGCTTCGTGGGATCATTGATCTGCGTGTGAGCTTGTCTACTTGCTCGATGTTACGGCAGGAAGACCGAGAAGAAACCCTCGATCTACGCGTTCTCTATCTATTAAACGCATGTTTTGTGCGGGGTTGATTGTTACAGTGTGTGGGTGAGGTGCCACCTTTTGTCGGATTTCCAATCGTTTTGGCGTTTTGCAACAGCACTCTATATATTATGCATACGACATGATTGATGATGGAAACGCTCGGCCCTTGGGCAAGAGAACAGAATATACTTGTTTGTAATCGATTGCTGTCTGTGGGACTCGTTACCTCTGCTCCACAGCAGTGTTGACTGCCAGGCAGTGCTGTGTACGGCAGTATTGGATCCCGTTCCGGTGGGGCTCATGTCTGGTCGGCACTATGTGCCACTATGTAGCTTGACCATGTATGTACGGTGTACTGCTGTAACTATAGGCAAATAAATGCTGTCTGTTATCACGGCGATCGAGTATGTATGCGCTGTTCTTGGTTGTTCATGTCAAGATTTGACCCTACTGCAGCTCACAGCATGCACCCTGCCAGCAGTGTTCATGTCGACGCTCAATGAAGGCAGTCATACACCATATAAAGCTAGCCGTCGTACATTGTCGGTGAACCGTGCGGTCGACGCAGATGTACAATGTAGGTGATCCTTCAAAATATTTAGTCTTGTTTGTGTAGCAGATGACGTGTGGTAGCCATGCGAAATATCGACCGCGGCATGGGAACAAACAACACCTACATATCCTACAAACACGGCACTACTACTGCAGGTGGTCCATCAGCCGTAGACTTCCTATGCGTGCCCTTTTGTAGACTTCCTATGCGTGCCCTTTTCGTAGTTCCGAGATAGGTGAGAACCCCTGTCCGCCATTGTTCCGTACAGGGGTTCGCGCTCTGAGGCGGCGTCCCTCTGCTGTACAAACCGCCCCACCCCGCCCCTCTGGAAACTGCATCGTACAGGCACAGCATCCATCGTGGGGCATGTTTGAACAGCCGCCGGGTAAGCGTTGTGTGTGCTTTTCTCCTCGGGCATGCTTGGCTCACATTTTAGCCACAGGCACAGCCAAGCACTATCCCCCAAAGAATCTATCATGACAGATGAGACACGATTGCACATGACGAATCCATGATCCACATGAACATGATGCCTGGATGAACATGCGCATGCTGCTCTTCCCTCTGTCACACCCACCCTGAAATTTCTTGGTACCATCTGCGATCCCCCGACAGTCTGACTGAGAGCTGCTGCCCTTGCTTCATCAGCCCCTCGCTTTTCCCTGAACCAAGACCACCACCACGGGTGGGGCTCATTTACAAGTACCCTCTCCACGACACACAACCCCTTGATCCACCATAGGATTCAACCGACAGAGAGGCCGCAGCCACAGGGGCAGCAGGAAAAGAAAAGGGAGAGGGGAGAGGAGAGGTCGACGAAGAAAAGCGCAGTTCGAGTAGTTCGAGCCCAGCAGCATCAGGTACGCGAGAGAGAGGTTCTTGTTGGTGCCTTGAGCTTAGGCCTACCACCCCCTCATCAAGGGAAGGCGCACGGGAAGAGGCAGCAGTATGTAGAGCATGCCTCCTGTCGATGGGAGAATGAGTGACGGGGTAGCGCCCACGTCACAGCAGTGGCCGTCCCCAAGTCCAGGGGCCATTGTCTGTTGTATGTCTTCAAAAATCCCAGGAAGAGGCAGAGCTTAGACTATAAAATCAATAGCAAGCAATCAGCGAGCCAAGGGGGGCCTTTTTCTGGTTCCTGTTTCTCGCTCTGCACCCACCCACCCACCACACCACCGCTCTCTTCTTGGTCAAGGTGCGTGTAGGAATCCCGACCTCCTAACCCTATCATGCATACATGCACGGGGTGCTAGAGCACTAGAGCCTGCCTGCGCAACTTCTTTCTAGCGCGCGCCCACACACAAAACACACACAAACACTCCCTTCGCTTGTATTTTTTTTTTGCGCAAAAGGCCTGTAAGCGGGTCACTTGGGTCGACGCAGCACCAGTTTCTTCTGTTCGTGTTGTCAGTTATCAGATCAAATGAAGCGGTAACACGGAGTAATAATTTTCGGACGGAAACAGGGGGTGCGTTTTTGCTCCGCTGCTGAGCTTAATGTCCCGCTGGAACACACTTGTACCTAGCAGAGAGACATAAGGCACCCGGCTTTTTTTTGTCAGATGCGATTCGACCCTCTCGTATCGATGTGCCACTACCCGCCTGTCCTGACCAGCCTGCACCTGATAATTCTCGGGTACGTACCAGGTACACATACTGTAGCGTAGATGTATTCTACAACCATACCACTCTTTTTTAGTATTTTGGGGCAAGCCTGCACCTGGACAGCGAGCCTGTTTTGTGCCCTTCACCAGATACTACTTCCAAGTCAGTACTAGAAATTGTGAGGGTGTTTTGTGTGTTGTTTAGATTAGGTACAGTACAGTATTATAGTGTGTGCCTGTCGCCTCTTTCGATGGGCTGGCGCTGATTGGCCGCCCTCTGCTTAGGGGGACCCGAAGCATAATTCAGTCAATGGAGGGATTGGCCAGCTGTAAGATATGTAGCCTTCACCTGCTTCGCAATATTAATATTTGGTGTTGTTCTATTAATAAAGAGGATGGAGTACATCGTGCAGTTGTGGTTCCGTTGCATCTAAGAGGGTCGAAATCGGTGATCACAGCAGGGCCAATGGTATGTACAAGAGGGTTTTTTATTTTTATAGAGACCGGCCCCTTTATGATGGGCTGACCCCACTACTAGATGAGGAGGTGGAATACCTTTTTTGTGGAGAAAAGTACCTGCAGTAGGCTCGTGCGTTGTTACCATTGGCTCGTTTATACCATACCATCACACAGCAGCAGTGATGAGTTCCTGGGCGCCAGTCAGTGTGATTTACAGATTTACAGAGAGGGGGGGTGGTGTTCATCATCACCATGCTGTTGGTTGTTTGCTTTGAGGCATCTCAACACCACGTGATGGGTGACCAGACTCACTACTAGCAGGGCGGGCACAGAACCCTCGCACGCAAGCATGAGAGGTGTACAGATGTACATGCATCGTCAATGTAGGAGCGCGTTGTTGGTGATGATGTGCCTCTCTTTCGAACCAAGCAAGATCGCTGCCGAAAAAAAAAGCAAGCGCGGTTGAATCGTGACCCAACTTACACGTTTCTTCTCTCCTCTCGCTTCCTCCACCGCTAGCGAACAGCAGTATAGTAGAGGCGACACACACCCTCTCGCACGTAAGTGTAGGCAGGACAGCAGCAGTACATACATGCATCGTCGATGGTGGTGTCTGGGAAACGAGCGGGTGTTGCTGTGATGTGCCTCTCTCTCCAAGCCTGGCACCGCTTGCTGCAAACACAGGAACAAGCGGTGCCGAGACCCAACCAAACCAAACGTGTGTCTCTCCCTTCGCTTCCTCCGCCGATACAATAGCTAGCAGCCATAGTACGGGGCACACCCTGCTCCCGTCTCGCTCTCGCTGTGGTATTCTGTCTCCCTCCCCCGTTGTCCATGTCTGGCTCCGGGTGATGATGTCTGTTGCGTGAGCCTACGTACGTACGTCTGGTTCCAAACAAGCCTCCTCGTCCACCTCGGGGACGCATCAATCCGACATGTATGTCGACTGAGATGCCGTACTATCTCGAGGCACCGACCACGGATTGAAAACGTAGCAGTTGGGACAGCTCGGGCAAAATGCTATTAAAGTTGTTGTGCACAAGTCTTGGATTGCAATTTGGTGCCTAGATGGTGAAATGTGCTCGAACCTCCTGGGTGTTTATCGCGGCACAGACAGAAACAGGGATGATGGACACACTTGCGAAAAAGTACCTCACCCGTGCGAGCCATTTTTTGTTTTTTCACGTACGTACATGTACATCACCATCCCTCTAAGCAGCTTCTTTCGTGCTAAAGCAAAAACTAACCCTCTATCAGCCCGCCCCCAAAAAGTATTAAAAGGGGCGTAGTCAGCTCAGGACTGCACCTCTTTGTGACTCCCTCGGCTCCTTCACACACGTACAAACGCACACACACCACAAGAGCCGGTTAGCTCGGTCGATGCTAGTAAGAGAAAGAATTCACAGACTAGCAATTGATGCACAGCACCCACACCGACCCGGCAGCAGCAGCATATATACTATGCCATGCGCGGCTGGAGAAATGTGTCGTACCCAGCAGACGAACGATTGAGCCCTCGACAGGTATATTTATGTGTCGCGGAGGTTGTGGGTGTGCGGGCGGCTTCACGAATGATGAATGGTGTGGTGATTGGTGTGCTTTCAGGAAGCCTGAAGCTTTCGACGACGGGCTAGAACTGCTCGATAACCACGACGGCGACGATTGCACTGGGCGCGGGGACCGTACGCTGCACTATATGTTGTTTTTGGCCCGCTGGCGCACTGCGCGGAGTCGTTTGGCAATCACAGCAGTCACAATGTAGAATCACGGGGATTTTTGCGCAAGGCCATAGTGATGTTATTCCTTTCAGCGTTCGTTTCGAAACCACCATGGCAGGCAGACGTCAGGGACATGTCTTAAATGTAGGCAATGCGTATGCTCATACAGCCTGATTCTGGCACGGCAGCAGTAAGATAAGGGTGGCAGGCGGCGGTTGGTCTCTCTTGTTGTGCGACAGACATAATGGTTGTAGCCCGTGTTGAATGAAATGTCTCATTGCCGGGGATGTCGTCGAGGCTTTGCTGCAACATGTGGGTTTCGCGCTTTGCTTTCCATTGTTGTCTCGATTCTTCTTGCGTTTGAATGCATGTGCGCATGTAGTTTGCCTCGTATGAATGGCTGAAGCGGCATTTTTTCTCTGCAGCAAGGTGTGATCACTCCTTGACTGTTGAATCGAACTCAACACCGAAACGAAAGCGTTGCCAACACGATCACATTCAATCGCCTAGCTTGCTCTACCACTTCCACCACACGTACATGCATATACAGTCCACCACACACACATATGCGTACATTTACATTTGTATGGCATCCTGACTCGGGACGATGCACTGTTGTTTCTCGTTACTCCCGATGTTCCCTTTATAGGAGGCAACCCACTGTAGAGGACCCCGATATATAAGGGTAACCCTTGTATTTCGATATAGCAGGGGGTTCGATATAGTCTAAGAGAGAGTGGAGGGCCGTTGTCGCACCACCCTCTGAAAATGGAACCATGTCTACTGTACCACAGTATGGATACAGCAGCCAATACTAGGTACAAGATTGATGCTGTTGTACAACTGTGTGACTCGGTTTCCTTGGTGTATGTACAGCACCTTTATTGATCATCATATTTGCTCATCACGTGTCGACTCTCTTCAACCAGCTGCCTGAGAGTGTATTTGCTTGGTCTCTGATAAAACCGTCATTGTTTAGAACGGTAGGTCAGGTCCACATCTCGACAGCTACTAGTTACCTCTGTATGATTCTTTCCCCACCCACACCGCCACGGGCCTTTTCTTCATCTCTCTTTGAGCCGAACTGAGTGATGGTAAAGTTATTGCAGCATGTATTTTGTTGGATGCGAAATGCGTCAATCCCGGTTTTTACGTTCTTTTTCTGGAGTTGGGAACAGCAGCAAGCAGTGCGGTGTTTCATCTCCATGAGTTGCATGTGCATCCAAATATTGAAGCTAGCACCCCCCCCCTTCACCCCCATCCAATTAACAACTAACTTCCGTCCCCCGTTTCTTGATCCATTTTTACGACAACAATGTCAACGCACAATCTCAAATTGAATTGTACAGGCATCAAGGCGAGAGACAAATAGGAACTGCATCTCACACGCGCTCGAACGTCCAGTCAATCACGTCTCCTCCCCTGAGAGGAGAGAAGGGAGAGAGAGGGCGAAGAGGCCCTCGGCATATGGCGTTGCTTGATCTGGCATATCCTGCGCACGTCGAGCAGCGCGCGACGTTCGCCTCCGGGTTTCCGGGCGGCACGCCCAGCAGCAGCAGCAGCAACAGCAGCAACAGCGGCGGCAGTGGTCCTCCTACGGTCGCGGTGGCGTCATCAGCGAGAGACTCGTTCACCAGCAGCCAGGCCCAAGGCGACATGCAAGCAGCATCTCTGTCGGCGAGCGCCAGCAGCGGGTCGCTAGCACCCCCCCCAGGACTGCCGCGCAGCAGCTCCACGGCCGAGCTGGTCGCGCTCGGCTTCGACCCGTCCGGGGTAATGGACGGCGGCAACGACCTCAACAGCAGTGACGGCGGGGGCGGGGGGGCAGGGTACGACCCTCGCCCACCAGCCATGAGCGGGAGCGGGAGCGGCGGCGGCGGCGGCGGCGGCGGCGGCGTGGGAGGCGGCCTTGACGCCGGAGACATGGGTGGAAAAGATGACGGCACCGGTGGTACTGGGACAGGATCGGCGGGAGGCATGGGGCTTGGGCTGAGGAACCACTCGCTCACCAACCTGGCCAACATGGTGCGATCGCAGTCGGTGTCCTCTTTCCACTCAGAAATATTCGCTTCGGGCGGCAAGCCGGTGAGGTCGACCGCTATCGATTCCCCGGCGTGGGGGTCATACCCTGCTAACCTCGACAAAATGGGTAGCGGCGGCGGCGGCGGCGGCGGCGGCGGCGGCGGGGAGGACATGTTCACGGTCTCCCCGTCCATGGGCCCACGAGGCGCAGGCCGTGGCACGCTGCCGATGCGCCCTCCTACGGGCGGCGGGGATCGAGGAGGAGTTGGGGGTGGGGGTGGGGGTGGGGGTGGTGATGTTGGCGGCGGGGCCGGTGCCGGTGCCGACCTGTCCCCCCAGCAGTTCGCGGGAAGGGGCACCGCGGCTAGGAGAGAGGTGGTGGACCGAGGGATGTCGGCGGGGTCGGCGGCCGGTTCCACGAGGACGTCCCAGCGGCGACCAATGGGAGGAGGGAGTTCCTTTGATCCAAGGGGCATGGTTCCTTCCGGTCCTGGCAGGAGCGGGGCCCCTCCGAGCGGGCGGGCCATGGTGCACAACCGGTCGGACACCGACCTCGTGGCTTCGTTCTCGCGGCTTGGGTTCGGCCAGGGCGGGGTGTCCCGCTGGAGTCCTCTCATGTCTCCCACCGCTAGCCCGCTAGTGGGCGCGCCGCTGCTGGAGGAGGACCCCTTGGACCTGGAACTCGAGGAGAACGCATCCCGCGGTGCTGGTGCTGGTGCTGGAGGCGCCGCGGTAGACACGTTTGGCGCACCGTCCTCTTTCCTGACGTCTCACGGAAGGAGGGGTCTGATGGACGGTCACGGTGCTTCCGGCGAAGCGCCTGGTATGGAGGTGAGGTTGCCACGCCATGCCTCCTATCCGTCTCTCACGGTGTCGCGCGGTGGAGGTAGCGGCGGCGGTGGATATGGCATGGAAGACTTGGTACACGGAGCCTTGGAGCACCTCACGGCCGGGGACAGCGCTACGGGGGGCGCAGGTGCACCGACCATTATTTTCGTATTCGTTTTTCCTTGCCGATAAGACGGTAAGACGATAAGACAAGGCGTGCCGTGCGAAGCCGATCTGATGAAGCATGCGTACTGTCTGTATCTATTCGTTCATGTGTAAACTGTACACTGCTGTACGACAACAAGACCGGTTCACTCCAAAGGCTTAGGTAGTGCAGGTTGTTCAATGATTCAAACGCTACCGCTGTACGACGCCGAACCCTCTCTACGAGTTGATCAGACGTTACTGGATGCCGTGAGCAAACAACAAGTAAAAATTTAGAACGACCGTCTTAATCTAGTTACTGCTGTGCCGCCGAACACAAAATCGGCCGTTCCCTATCGTATGCTGATGCGGCCATGCCATTCTTGCCATGCCACGTCAATCAGCCCCTGGAGTAGGTGAGGGAAGCGGCAGCGGCGGGGGAGGAAGCGGAAGCGGGCTCACGTCGGGGGGCATGAGCAGCGGCAGCCTTAGCGGGAGCGCGAGTGGCAGGATCAACGGCAGCAGACTCTCCGGAGCGGCCACCAACCAGACCCAGACCTCCGCGGCCGTCAATGGAGTGGGCGGGGGCGACTCGACCGCTATGGTGGCGCCCGGCGCGCTGGGCGGCGGGGCGGGCTACACGTCTAGCCCCGGCCACAGCCCGGCCTCGGGCTCCCAAGGGCCGCCGCAGGGGATGGGCCGCCAGAACCCGCGACAGCAGCAGCAGCAACAGCAGCAGCAGCAGCAGCAGCAGCAGCAGCAGCAGCAGCAGCAGCAGCACCGGTCTCACCACCCGCAGCACCAGCAGTCTTACGACCACGGGCGCGGTGGCGTGGACGGGGTGATGATGCGGGATGGAAGATTCGTTCCTTCGGGAGACGGAGGCGGTGGTCACCCGGGCATGATGTACGGGGATGGTGGGGGGTACGGTGGTGGTGGCATGGGCGGGGGCGGCTACGACGGCATGGGCGGGGGGGGGGCGCCTGGCGGGATGATGGACGTCCCGTGGGGGGGCCAGGACCCCGTTGCAGTCTATCAGGTTAGGTTAGCTTCGGTCTGTTTGGTCGCGGTAGGATCGTGGATGGGCATGTGGAACACCTTTCAGTTTCGGCGGTGTTGCCTGTTTTATCATCCGTGTGGGTTTGACGTGTTTTTCGCAATGAATATGATTGTGTTGTACTCGGTGGGGTTTTGTCGGCCTTGCCGTGTTTTCGTGCCCACGTTGAGTTAACGTACTTCAGCGTCGGGGGAATAAAATGGTGTACGATTGACTGACCGTCTGGCTGACCCAAATTGCACAAGGGGGGTGACGCTGAGGGTGCGCTGCGAAGTCTGGTGCCGCGTCAGATGCCGCGTCAGATGAATCTCGTCCGTGGAATATATCGGCTTCACACGTGACTCACTGACTGCTTATATCAGGTTATTTGACTCTGGCTGACGTAAAGTATTGTTATTGTAGGCGTTCTGCCGGTGCTGTCTGTGTCACGTGTCATGTGCCACAGCATAAGACGAACGAGGGTATGATAGGAGTATCCCGCACTCTGATCCGCATGGTGTGCGGTTTTCAGGCGATTCCTCTCCTCATTTGCCCTGACTCCAACTCCAACCCCGTCCGCGTCCTCTTCTCTTGCCGGTTGACGCGGTCCAATTGGAACCATTTGTGCCGAACTGTACTGCTGTCGTTGCTTATCGTCTGTCGTCGCAGGCTCTTTTGATGAAGCAGAGCCTGGCCGCCGCGCACGCGTCGGGTATGCGCTTCCCGCCCAACATGCACATGCCGGCGGGGAACGGCATGGGGATGAACATGGTTGACGTGGCTGCCCTCGCAGCCGCGGCCCAGGCGGCCTCTTCTACTCCCGGAGGGCGTGGCGGATACAGCGGCGGTGGCGGCGGTGGCGGGGGGGGGTACCCCGGGATGGCCCCCCACATGCAGCAGGGCGGCTACGGCAGGCGGGACCAGCGCATGGGCCCGAGGGGTGACATGGGAGGCGGAGAGTACGGCATGGGTGGCCCCATGGGCGGCGGCGGCGGGGCAGGGCCAAGGATGGGCGGCATGGGTGGCCGGGGCGGCGGGATGTACGATGTGGTGGAAGACCTGGGGGACGGTAACGTGTACCACGTTCAGTTCAAGCGCTCCGCCCGTAACTTCCTGCTTGCCAAGACGTGCCAAAGAGATCTTCAGGTCAGGAGAGATAACAGCAGTACAGCAGTACAGCAGTACCTCGGCAACCGGGTGCAGTGTGGGATGCGATATCCAATGCTTGTGTAGCAGGGTAGATGAATCAGCCCCACGACCAGGCGTGCGTTGCCTCTTGGTTGGTTGGATTGTTTTTTCCCGGGGAGTGTTGGGGTGCAGGGGTTGGAAGTGGCAGTCTGTGCAAGAGCAAGCCGTCTGAGGTTGAAAAGGTGCTGTGTCGCCGGTCGTGTCGTATGATAGGGGGCGGTGGTTGATTGCTCGTAGGGTGCTGCCGAGAGGACTTAACCCAGTGGAGGGTGAGAGTTGATCCGATCGTTCGAGCTGGCCACCTCCGTGCTACAGGTGCATGCGGTTGCAGGTTGTAGCGTCACGTTTATTTGGTGCTGCGGTGGGGCGCGGTTTTGATGGAGGGCCAGTTGTTGTCGTCTTGTCTTGGCCGTTGTTGTGTTGCCATCGTCGTTGCTGCTTATGGTTGTTGTTGCGGTTGTGTTGAACACAATTACCACTCCCGTAGCCCCCCGTAACCCCGCAGGCAGTGTGGTATGTTCGTCCCTCTCCTATCCTTGCGACGCATGACGCATGCTGTAGATATGCGCAGCGGTCCCACAGGCAATATTCACGTAGAGTTCATAGTAGCGAATCATGGTGAATGAAAAGGTATCTAGCATAGCCGACAAGTCCCGTTGGCGCTGTTCCTCCCTCCTCTTGTTGTGGTACACAACTACTACTACTACTACTACTACTACGGCCAGGTTGGGGACTACGTGAAGGTGGAGGCGGACCGCGGAGAGGACCTCGGAATGGTCGTGACGATCTTCCCAGTGCCCGAGGCCGGCAGGCCACTCCCTGCCACTGCCGGGCAGAAGCGCGGGTTCGGGCAGTTCGAGAAGGAGCACATCATTCGAGCGGCCACCGAGGACGAGGTGCGTGCGGGGCTCTTGGGCTTGGTGGCCTGTACTAATACTACAGGCTACAGGCCTGTGGCATACCAAGGCTTTTCTTTTTTGCTGCCGTGTTTGCGTTTTTTTGTTGTAGCTGGCAAGAGGTTTTACACACATCCCACTTGCGTACGATTTCGTGTTGTTTTTCCGATATAGGCTAGGCTAGGTTAGGCACGTGAAGCACCCGGGAGGTACTTTAGTAGAGTGCCCCCCCCTTTTCCTGTCGTAATCAATGTTTGGACCTTGGCTTAATCTGTGACCTAACCCTACTTTTACAGAGAGGGGGCTATTGTGCCAACGCCTAGGCTATCCATAGCATATCATACAAACAACACACATGATGTGGCATGTGTTTGTCCATCCACCAAGCTGTCGTCAGTTCGCTAAAACGCGAGCTCTCCCGCCGTCACCTTGCTCGCAGCCTTGGTAGACGGGGATTGTCAACTCGGCCACCACGGGGGGGTATGGTACTGTAATTGTGTGCGAAGTCCGTGCACTCCACAGCAGCAGCAGCAGCAACAGCAGCAGCAGTGTGTGGTGGTGGTGTTTCGAGGAAACGTTCGTGAAGAGAGAAGAGAAGAGAAGAGAACAGAAGAGAAGAGAAGAGAAGAGAAGAGGCCTTTCCCCCCCGCCAACGACACGAACACTTGGTCTGCGACCTTCCCACTTAATTGAGCACATGTACATTGTATCGTACACATGCTGTGTGCCGCGAGCACCTGGGTTCTGTTCTGGTGTGCGTTGGTTTCACAAGATTCACAAGATTCACAAGAGGGTACGGAAACGTCTCTCGCTGCTCGGAATGAATCGGAATGAATCGGAATGAATAGCGGGAGCATGGACGAATTATTTGCACGTCTTGTGTGTGAAAACATTCACATCCTGCAATTTGGCGTGGTATTGGCCAACTCTAACAATGCCCGCCCCGCTGTTGTTGTACTTGTGGCTTTGTCACGTTAGTTGTTTTGAGTGTTTTAGGAGGGCGTTCGTTTTCTCGTTTGGCTGTATCCCCTCGTATGACTGATGACAGTATTTGCAGTAATGTTAATCTTCCCCCTTCATGCCGACAGTAGTGCAAATAGTTCCCCGTGATGGCATGCTGGTGATGGTGATAGACAAGAACGAGGAGGAATCGACACAGTCGATACCCAAAGGCTGCGGACACACCACCCCTGGCTCGCTCCCTCTTCTTCTGCCATGCCACCCAACAGGTGCAAATGGTGAAGGACAAGCTGAGGGACGAGGAACGAGTGCTAGAGGTCTGCCGCACCAAGGTGCTGCAGCGCTCGCTGCCGATGCGTGTCATGGACGCCGAGTTCCAGTACGACCGTCACAAGTTAACTTTTTTCTTCGAAGCCGAGGGGTGAGGTCACAGGGCAGTCGGCTCGAAAGAACGAAACACAATCTCTCTGATCGGCACTGCTGCACCCGACTTCCTGCGCCTTCCTTATTTTCCAGACATGTTTACCTCGCCTCGGTTGGGTTCAGTCCAACCCACGAGAGGCATTCGTCCCCTGGACACTGCTGTCGTAACACTATCGTAACACTGTCGTAATCTTCTTGTATTGCACTATGGAACCACTAGTGTTGATTTGACCGGTGTAGAGTGGCGTCGGGTCGAGCTGCATCATGTTAAAGACCGGTTCATATCACGGAACACTCGTTGATTCCAACATAGCATGGTATGGTATCAGCTAAAACGAGCACGAGGACCCGACCCGCAAAACCGTGACCCGTAACCCGTAACCCGTGTAACGCCTACAAAAATGTTTAATGCTGTACTCACCGCACTCAACGGGTATAGCCCAACACGGTTTTAAGTTCGATAGTTCGATTGTAGTTGGCCCAGATTTTCCACTGTGATGCAAGGGTTGAGTGTACTCTAACATGTATCGACTATTGTATCGACCACAAGCGAGAAGCCTGAACATCGGCGGCCACCGGTCCGCTGTCCCTCTTGCGGCTGCGACAGGCGCATCGACTTCCGCGAGCTTGTCCGTGACTTGTTCAGTCTCTACAAGACTCGCATCTGGATGCAGCAGCTCGAGCCTGAGACCACTCCATCCGGCGGCCCGATGCAGCCCCCGTACTCCCCCCAGCAGCAACAGATGCATGGCATGCCCGACGCCATGAAGGGCGGGTCGATGGACATGGGGATGAACATGGGCGGACCCATGCTGTGACCGACTTGTGTGTCCAAGCTCGCCTTTTTCTGGCCTTGGTTGTGGTATTTGGCGCTACAGAAGCCGTATGGCGATAACGTGAGCTCGCGTTTGGA